GCCCGGCTCTTAAACAGAGCCGAAGAGTCGGGGGAGGAGCAGAGCCGCCATTTTCCCGGACATGTCCGGCTTTTCGGCAGTCAAACCCCCGTCCGGGGGGAATTGCCAAAAAGCCGAACATGTCCGGGAAAATGGCGGCTCTGCTCCTCCCCCGACTCTTCGGCTCTGTTAAAGAGCGGGAAAGCCCGAGCGCTACCGGCTTCACGGTTTGCCTGGCAGCCTCCCGACCCTGCGCCCCTGGCTGGGCTGGGGCAGCCCTTTCCCCCTGGCTGGGAGTGGGAGGGAGGAGGGAGCGGAGTTGGGGCGGGGAAGGGGCGGAGTTGGGGTGGGGAAATGGGCGGGGCCAGGGCCCGTGAAGGGTCCTCTTTTTTTATTTATGAGATAGGGTAACCCTATTTTAGTAGCAAATGCCCAGTTCACTTTCGAGAGTCGTTTTTGCCATGATACCAGCATGTTGTAAACCGACCAAAACCCAGCAGTCAGAGCACCCATTCAAACCTTCCTTCAGCCATTACTAACAGTAATAATGGGAGTTAACCCATCACTCAGCCTCAAAACCCCACCCCTGGAAGCTAAGCATATAGTTGGCTGACTGAAGAGAAGCTCTACGTTCAACCTGAATCACATTTCTCTGCCTGGATGTAAAGTGATAGCCTTTGAGCCCCGTTTCGAAGCAATTCCAGAGTTGCAGGGATTGGGCCAGGCCCCCATGGGCTGAACCCCATGGCACTTGAAAAATTGCTCTTTCGTCTCCCTGCTGAGAGCTTCTTATCAGCTGTGGGGTGCAGTCTCAAGCCCTCTCTACACTACAGTTTTGTCAGCAAGAGGGCATAGGGCTGTTTGCGGGAAAGTTAAAGCAACAATGTGTTAATGTAGATGTTGCCGTTTGTTATGTAGCCATAACTGGCCTACCCAGTATCCCACAATGCCCACCGTCACCACTCTGCTCGCTGTTTTGAACGCTGCTGTCCTGCATTCCAACTACACAGGCGTGTGCTTAGGGTTGCCAAGCGTCCGTTTTTTGACAGGAACGCCCGGTCGAAAAGGGACCCTGGCAGCTGCATTTGGCATCGCGGACCGGGCCATTAAAAGTCTAGTCGGTGGTGCAGCAGCTACCCGGGCGAAGGCAGGCTCTCTGCCTGCCCTAGCACTGCGCGGCCCCCGGAAACGGTCACCAGGTCCTTGCAGCCCCTAGGCGCATGGGTGGCCAGGGAGGCGCTGCGCACTGCCCCCACGCTGTGTGCCGGCTCCACAGCTCCCACTGGCCAGGAACCACGACTAATGGGAGCTGCAGGACTGGCGCCTGCGGGTCTGAGGGCAGCACACAGAGCCTCCCTGGCCACCCATCCACCTAGGAGCTGCAGGGAACCTGGCGGCCCCCTCCTTCACCCCAAATGCCTCCCTCGCCCCACCCCAGAGCCTGAACCCCTAGCTGGAGTCCTCCCCCAGCACCCAGCCCCCTGCCTCAGCCCAGAGCCCTCT